GCCCGTGCCTATAGGCAAACTAGGCAGCTGCCTAGGGTGCCAAGTTACATGGGGGACCGATTGAATGGTTCACCTAGGGCGCCAGGTGCTGGCAGCTGAGGTCCAAAGCAAATAACATGAAGGAACTCAGGATGATTATTCACATGTTGACATATCTTCTAACCAATCAGGGCATGCAGAACAAATAATTCTGATTCTCTGCACACACAATAGTATTGATGCAAATGTCCTGAGCTTCCCCTTGAGGTCCCATTACTCACAGGGTAACTTGATCACTGAGACAAAATTGTGTGACCCTACCTGTTAATAATGAGTCCAACCTTCTCTGAACCAAATTTTCTTACAACTCCAGTGCCCCTTTTTCCTCCATTGTGCCAATTCATCCTTGATAGCTCAGAGATGCCATTCCTGACCTGATGTATGATAGCAGGAGTAAATTCTTTACTAGATCTAGTGGATTCTCATTAATGTATGTGTGAAGTCTGATGAAGCTGGTAGGAACTGGTGGTTTTTCATCTTGGAATAGTCAGGATGATGGTGGTCTGACCAAGAGGAGTCAGATTGGGTTACATACTAAAAGAACAGACTCTATGGGTACGTCTAGACTACATGCCTCTGGCGACAGAGGCATGTAGATTAGGCTACCCGACAGAGTAAAATGAAGCGGCGATTTAAATAATCGCCGCTTCATTTAAATTTACATGGCTGCCGCGTTGAGCCGACAAGGGCAAACCAAGAGTCAGGCATCAGATCAGAGGCAGAGTTTGAAGCTGAATATGGGATCTCTTACACAGGGGGTCTGAAGCAGAGACGGGCAGACAGACTATGTTATTGCTCTGACCCTGCAAGTAAGATATATAGATTTTGGCCTCTGACTATGTCTCTTGACACCTGATTCTTGGTTTGCCTTCTGGCTTGTCTCAGGTGCTGACATAATGGTAACCTGCATGCCTCCCTGAGCTTAACTCTTTGCATACCCTCTATCCTATCTTGGACTCTGGCCTTCTGCTACCCAAACCAACTTGACTCTAGCTCTGCCCAACCATGTTCAAGTCATGACATTTTTCTGAGACATTTCCCAATCGTGACTTCCTTTCTTATGTACTAGTGCTAGCCAATCAGTGGGGTGAGAGGAGATGCTATTCAGATTCTGCTGGGCAGTACTTCTTGCTGAGCCCCTCCTACAGGAACTTAGTCTAAGCCCTCTGTGGTGATTTGGAGACATAAGCAGCCTAAAACTCCCATAGTCTCAAGATCTCACTCTATAGACTCTTACATCTAGAGGGAAGCAAGGCACTTGGGCCTATCTGGCCAAAACATCAAAAAAGGGACCTTTTTATATTAAGTTTCCTTTGAAAAAATAAGTATAATTTTAAAAAATATTAAATGGAAAAATCATGTGTTCCCTGAATAGATGTTGTGGTGCATTTGGAGAATAAATTTAATCACTGAAGTGTAATTTCAATTGTGATTTGTGGCCTCCTTTAAGTGCAGATCTCATTACCATCTTAATTATACAGTTGTTACCTGGCTTAGAATGAGTTTTAAGTCATCACTTCTTACTTTTCATTCTGAGAAAATAAAGAATTTTTACAGTCTAGAGACAGGATGCTTAACATATCAGCCTATGTGTGATTCAATCAGATCAATTCAGATCAATCGTTTGTGTACTATATACCTTTGTTTTATTGATTTTTCACATGGTTGCCACTAGAGTTTGCTGTAATGCAACCAGCCTCTAAAATATGAGTTTAAAACTACCGCACAATATAGATATCAAATTTCCAGCTCTCTTTCCTTGGATTCACAGATTAACTCAAGGAGTTAAATGTGCACTGAAGACATATTTGAAAGTACCCAGGACTTGAGGTTTATTGGTATTTGTTTTTCTGAAACCTATTAGTCAAGACTTATTATTAGCACTGATTAGAGAACCTCTAGCAAAATCGTATTCCATCATAATATGTAGTTCCATAAAAATTTAAATGCTTTACAAAATCAGTTGACTCTGCTGGAATTTCATGTAGAAAAGAAAGTGGAAAGGAGTTGTGACAATGTTGACATGTCTCATTTTAATGTTTTGAGAATGAAATGTTTCAGATTTTTTTGTTTTGAAATAACTTTTTTGTTTTATGTTATCTTTTATAACATAATACAAAATAAAAGTAAAAAATAAAACAAAATTAAACTGTTAGAATGACCTGTGCTCTAATTTGGAACACAGACAAATTTCAGAATCTCAAAATCCGTTGCAAAATAGAACGACCTCTGCACAACTCTATTTATAATACCTTTATAAGATAATTCAAGCAACAATCTCAGCCTCTGGCATTTCCTCTTTAGGAATTGTAACTTCAGATTTATGTTTGAATATTAGAGAAAACATAAATATAATAATAATAAATAACTCAGAAGACACTAGAGAAACCAGAAATAGAAAAACCTATTAAATCATCTATTCCATGCCTATGTGACTGCAGGGCTGTTTTGTATAATACTTGTTCCATTGATTTGTTCAAACGAGTTTTAAATGCTTAAAGCAATGGGCCATGTCTTTTGGGAGTCAATTTCAGTTCCAAATACATCTTGTGGTCAAAAGGTTTTCCTGATATTCAATCTAATTTTTCTTCTTACATTTATTCTAGTTCTACTCCTTATATCTCAGCAATAATTCCTCTCTGCCCTAACCTACAATGTTCAAATATGTTGACTCCATGTAGTTGTTACTTAGCAAGGCTTTACATAACTAGGGTTTGGAAGACTAGGACCATAAATTTGTGTATTGATGTTTATTTAATTTTGGTTGGATGTGAAGTTTTCATCACATAACATAATCTTTAATTCCTGGAGACTCCACAGCAGTACTAAAAGTTGGCAACCCTAGTAAGGAGGGATTTCTCCACAACTGTACTAGAAGTTGGCAACCCTAGTAAGGAGGGATTTTGAAAAACAAAGACTTGTACTTCTAAGTTTCTGAGACACTTTTGGAAATTCCCCTAGTGCAGTATTTTCTAGGAGTGCATTTAAAATAAGATAAAATTTAGAATTATGTACAAAGGGAAAGTTAAAATGGAAGGTATAGTTCCAAGTGGGACCACTGGAGGAATTGTTAATTGTTGCTACTGTCTTGGAAGTCAGCAGAGTGAGTCTGGGAAGTAAGAGAGCATAGGGATAAGGGGCAGGAAAAACGGAGAGTGATTGAGCTGGCAGAACCTATCAGCATGACTGCAGTTACTTTTTTGTCTGAAGGGAGTGAAGTATTGGGAAGGCAGAGAAGCAGAACTCCATGAGGCTCAGGAGGCAGTAAGGCTCAGTTGAGCTCTACACAGAAAGGGAGAGTTCTAGCTGTGGATTGTAGAAAGTGCCATAAGAAGTTACTGTAAGAGTCTGCTTCCATCATCTTCCAATAAAGTCCTTTTCTTCCCAACCATCTTCCTGCTATTCAATTCCAAGTGCACCATAGACATAACTAGTTCCTTATTTTCACCTTATATGTCATTTCCTTATACTGTCAGTATTCTATGACTCCTCACTATTCCTTATATGTCATTTCCTTATACTGTCAGTATTCTATGACTCCTCACTGAAGACCTATTGATTTGTTGCTCTTTCTCATAAATATTCCAGACACGGTCACACAAGAAACATGGGGAAATAAAGTATTACTTCCTTGTTCTGGGACAAGATACATTTGCGTATGCAACCCAAAAGTTCATTCATCTTTTATGTTACCGTATTTTCCGGCGTATAAGGCGACTGGGCGTATAAGACAACCCCCTAATTTTCTAGTTAAAAGATAGGTTTTCGTCTTATACTCGCCGTTTAAGACTACCCCCCCTAAGAGGCCAACCGGCAGTGCCCCAGCGCTCCTCCGCCTCCCCGGCTTTGCTCCCGGTGTCCCTGGTCTGCTGGAGACGGTCCCCAGCAGACCAGGGGCACCGGGAGCAAAGCCGAAGCGGCAGCGGGGTGCCGCGCTTCTGAGGAGGCCGGCAGCGGGACAGCCGCGGCGCATCTGGGCTGTCCTGCTGCCAGCTTCCCTCGAGGCTTTGCAAAACCGCAGAGACCAGGGAGACGCGGAGCAGCTTTTCTCGCCACGGAGGACACAGGCAGCGGGACTACGAGGTCCCGCAGTCTGTGTCCTCCAGGGCGAGAAAAGCCCCGGCGTATAAGACGATCCCCGATTTTTGGGGGATGTTTTTTAGCATAAAAAGTCGTCTTATACACCGGAAAATACGGTACAATGTTCCATTGCAAACTTATGGATATCTTGAGACCCTCTGTCACCCGTAAGCCTATCTTAAGTCTGCTCTCCATGGATTTCTTCAACATCTGGGATAAAAATCTTGCCTCGCTGAAATCAACTGGAGTTTTTTCATTGGACTGCACCCATCAGGTTAGAATATTTTCCTCGGTGCTTATATTTGCACTTTTCCAAACTTAATCTATTTTTGTTATTTTCTGCCTATGAGTTTAATTTTTCTGTATCCTTTTAAATATTTCTCTGGCCTCTCTTGTCATTGCTACTCCTCTCAATTTGCAGGCAGATCTTGACTTTACGACATTCAAGTTAAGACAAATAGTACTGACAACATTTCTGCATTGACACCCTGATTAAACTTATGATGTTGGTTTTGACTTTGCGATGCTCAGTCCCACAACAGAGTGGCTGGCAGTTCCGAGTTATGACATTTTGATTTATGATACAATTTTCAGGAACCAAATGTATCATAAGTTTGAGGACTGCCTGTAGTATAATCCACTGTTTCTATTAATACATTGCTTACTATTCTTTCAAATCATTAATTCTGATGATACACTAGGGTAAAGCTAACATCCAGCCTATAACACTGCACTAGCAATTCCTCCCAAAGCTCAATGCATTGAAGTCTGCCAAACATTTAGTGACTCTATTTTCTTAATGTTTGTACTGTTGTTTAACCAGGAATAGTAATAAGACTTACACAACGACAACTGACTTGATTCTTCTTCTTTGTTTACAGCTTAATAGGAAAGAGAAGGACCACTTTGAGGACTATAGTCATCATCAAATTCAGAAATCTGAACCTCTATTATTAATAATTAGGTTTGAATACCTTTTAATTTCCTTCATGCTCCAGGTATTTCTTGCTTCGTACTCCAGGTATTTCTTGCACTTTAAAAAATAATAAGTTAGATGTATATATTGGTAGTGCAGTAACTTTTTAATCATCATCTGCGCCATACTTACACAATTTCAGCTTTTTCTCCAACAACTTCCACATCACATGCTAGCTGTGCTATTTGTGATCTACCGAGAATGTACAGAAAGACGCCACCGAGACTTGTAAATTAATGTATTTGGCATTTTACTTAAAATAACCGGTTCCTTTGCTTCTCTTTATTTATACATTTTACACGCTTATAAAAGGAAACCAAGGCTAGAAGACAGGATGTGCTGGTGACAGCATGACTTGTGTGATGTGGGATGATAATAATAACTTTGGACAAAACCCACAAAAACGTTCAGTTTTTCATTTTAGATCATGTATATAATAAGCGACACTAATCTCAGATACATGATCTTAATAATGAATCTCCAAGCTACATCTAAAAATAAATAAAGCAGGTGACTAAATAGGTCTTCTCATATAATTTGATATATTATAGAAACTTCAGAGATCTAGCTACACAGAACAGCACATGATAGAATGCTAACTAGTACCTCATGGGAAGGTCAGTAACTCATGGAGTGTATTGCCAGTGGGATGCTCTTTCCAATGCTGTTGCAAAAGGCTTGTTGCATTTTTAACGAGTCCCTCTGGGACAGATGACCCTTCGTCACCAGATTTATGAAGTAAAAATTTTTAAATGAGAGATGAAATTGCACTAATCCATCAATTTTTCCTTTGATCACTAGAAATCAATCTTAGATGCCAGATTTTTGCTTTTTGGGGTATATCTCTGTTGTTGCACATCTATTTTTCCTTGTTTTATTAACACCAGACGGTTCTTTAATGTGAGACTTAAATATTTGTGAGGTGCATCACCCAAAGACTCATTAGTGTGGGGGGGTTTTTAGCTTTAAAAATAGTTTAGTGCTGCTGAAATCTGTTAGTGATAACAGCTCTATTAATCTCCAGAAAAGACAGCACAGATGGGGGCATACCTATCTCCTACTTTTACCATTATGTCTCAGCTCTCTTCTAAAAAGCTCACTTCTGTCCATACCTTTGTTTTTTTTGTTTTTGTTTGGGTTTTTTTTGGTTTGTTTTTGTGTTTGGTTTTTTTCTTTTTAGGATTTTTGTTGTTATTTTTGCATAGTTGGTATCCTTGTTAAAAGGATAGGTAAATTATTTTTTTTATGTGATGAGCTGTCTTCTAGAAATGGAGCATTCCATTGACTTCAATGGACTTTGGGTCAAGCATATAGGAATCAGACTGAGACAACCAATTCACTTCATATAGGCTGCTAACCATATCACAAATGAGATAAGTTGAAGTCACTATTTGAGAGAACTGGATTTAAGTCAGATGAAATGTTTTGCATCCCATTATAATGACATGGTCCCTCTCACTTGGTCATAGCCTCTAAATTTTGCGAGAATGATTTTTATTTGTATTAAAATCATTGCATCAATGAAGTATCATTTTCAGTCGGGTCTAATCCTGGCCCTGAAGTGAAATATCAAGATTAACTAAAAATGAATGCCTATTAAAGCTGGTTGGGATTTTTTTATGAAACTTTTTTTCATTAAAAAATGCTGATTTATCAAAACTGAAAATCTGAATGAGAAATAGTCAGTTTTGTTTAATTTCTTGACATTACAATGTTAGAAAAAAATTGAAATTGATTAAATGACCTGTTCTGACATTTTCAAAACTAATCGTTCCAGTTTTCTAGTTTAAAAAGACATTTTGTTTTGACATTTAAACTACTTAAAATAAAGAAAAAGAAGTAAATGATCAAACCGCAATGGAATGCTTCAAAATTATTAAAATGACAATAATAATTTTGATGATAAAGTGTAAATGTATTAGGATTTTCAGTTTGCATCAGTTTTCAAGATTTCAACTTGTCCCAATTTAAGATGGGAACATTTTTGAAACGCCCAGTATTTTTGGTACACGGGGAAATGATTTTCCTACTCTGCTTTAAAGCCTAACATTGTTTGTGAAAGTACCATGTTTAGTATTTCTTTAGTGTTAAATAATTAAAAGGACACCTATACAAAGGCTCTAAGTACCCTGCTATTTAAATTGTCAACATCATAATACACCCAGAACTATTAAAGAATGAAATGTTCAGACATAAGAAATAATACAACCCAGCCTGATAGTCCAATGAAACTATCCAATGAAACTAAGACACCCAGAACTATTAAAGAATGAAATGTTCAGACATAAGAAATAATACAACCCAGCCTGATAGTCCAATGAAAACCTCCTTCTTATTCTGACTACCCTCCAATCCTCTCCAAATCAATGAAACTAAGTCCCTTCTTATTCTGACTACCCTCCAATCCTCTCCAAAACCCCTATAAAAATGGTGACTTTTGCCTTGTGCTCAGAAGTGCTATTTTGGGCCATATGTTGTACTGCTCTACCTCATAATATTCTGCCCATAAGTCAGTAGCTCAGCTTACTCCTCTGTCAGAAGGTACAAAGGCAGTAAATGGTAAGAAAATCAGTGATTGTCACTAGTCAATTAAGCTGAGCTGAAAGAATTGTTCATAATGGTAAATTTCATGTTGTCTGCTGTTCACACATTTTCCATTTCTGTGCCAGTGATTATACCCACTTAATTCAATCTCCTTCCTCTTTGTTTATAACTGATAACTTTAGCTATTATTTTATCTAACAGAGTTTAAATGGAAACTAGAGGTTAGACTGAATCTTTTGGGTCAGCCCTGAACAAGGGCTAGCATGTAACGGCTCTGCCCCAAGAGCAGCCATGTAAAGGAATTGTGACTCAGTTCCTTAATTCCTCCCACGCACCTCTCTTGCTCCAGAGGGGAGTATGTTACTTCAGCCTTTTAAAAATGCAGCTCAGTTCACATCCTTAAAGGATTTAGACCTTGAACTAACAATTGGCTGTCTGTTTCTAATCAAAAGGCTTTATTTTCTAGGGCAATTTGATACTTGTGAAAGGGAAAGACTAATAGCATGAACTGAAGCCAATTAAGAGTTGGAAGATGGTCTGCAAACTTCTTCAACACAACCCTACCAATATGCCGCAACCTTGCTCATCCAGTTTTAATTTGGTTTTGTGTTGTGGGCAAATAAAAATTAGGATGATACAAACTCACTTTGGCTTGTGCACAGACTGGCAATGAGTGAAACATTTCCTCAGATAAAATCTATTGGACTGTGGGACAGTCTCCCAGTAGAATCCTTATTAAAACAATCACCCAAAACTTTGCAGCAGCATTTTTGTAACTAGAGGAGATTTGGATGATGATGGCAGAATTTTGTCATCTTCCTGCAAGAAGTATTGTGCAGTTCCTTCTGTTTGCCATTGAAAAGTGAACTGGCAAACACTGGAGAATATAGACTATAATGTAGGGAAGACTTCTACATTGGCAGATTCCCAAATGTTATTTTCTGTATCTATTTTTTATTTATTTTTCAATATAAGTATTTCTAGCATGCCAGCTTCCTTTTTGTCTCCTGTCTCCTAAGCTTTAGAACTATAGAAAAACTGTTCTGCAATGAATCATGAAATGGGGGGTTTGTAAGGCAGATGTGTTACCTGAGGTAGATTTAGCCAAATAACTAGGAATTTTAGAAATGTTTCTAAAAGACTCAGATGTATAAAATTTTAGCATTGGGGAGAGAAGTGTTTCCTACATGCTTTTTTGTTATACTTCTACTTTGCTGTCTAACACTTTTAATATGTGTTCTTCTTGTTGTGGTAACAGAAAATATAATTGAGATTTAAGCACTGAAAAGCTTTTCCACACATTTCCACGAGCAGTGGAAAACTCCAATAAGTTTGTATTACATTGTACAAAGTCATGTCAGATAATGAATGGCTTCTGGTGGACTTCAGCACCAAGTGAAGTTTTATAAAAATGAATCTGTTGCTTTCTATAAATCAGCAAGCTACTTTCCCAATTCAGCCATCCTTCAGCTATAGCGGCTCCATGATTTGTTTCAGATTCTACACTAATACAGTAGAGGCAATCCCTCTCCAGCCACCTCTGAATGATTCACTCTTTTTGGCTGCTAGGGCCTGATCCAAAGCCCATTGAAGTAAATGAGTTTTTTTGATTGACTTTAATGGGTCCCTGCTATAATGTATCTGATGGCCTTCTGTTTTGTAGATTTTCCAATCCCTTTTGTTCACACTATCACCACATCCTCCCTACACATGTGCACCAAGTTACCACCCTCTCTCAAATCCTACCTCAAAAATCACTTTTACTCATCCTTCCAGAACTGCTCTGCTTTTGGCTCATCTTTTGCCCTTACTATTGCATATCCTCCGTTATTTACATCACATATGTCCATATTAGGTGGCATGCTCTTTGGAGCAGGGCCTTTGTTTCCCTATTTGAGTACAAACAATATGGACTTGGATTTAAATCTCATCTACTTCATCTCTGCATCCTCCCTCTTCAAATATTGAGAAAGCTTGTTCTTGGAACTATGTGGCTTGTGCCTGTCATTGTGACACACCTAGACCCAGGCTGACATCTTGTTGCATATTCTATTTATTTAAGTGCTATGAGTAGGGAGAACTACACTTTATATTTATCTTTCTTTATTAATAGGCACTGGTTTTGAAAGAGATGGCGGAAAGAAACCGAGAAAAGTCTTAGAATATAAGCAGCTGTACTAAGAAAATAACAAAGGCTCTAGTGTCAATCAACAGAGCTAAGGAGGAGGATCTTTGAAAGGAAGACTTTTTCACATTCTTAACGTGAATAGCAATATAATATCTTTGTACATGTTCTGCATCCCATCCAGTTGTTTTCAAATGTAAATAAAGTATATGTTAGATATTTTAGACCTAATCCTTATTCTGCTGAAATCAACTGAGAGAGTCACATTGATTTCAATGCCTATTGGTTCGGACCATAGAATCTAAACACTTTTTTTTAATGTAACTTGTCGGTTAAAATGAAACATTTTACTTGAAGACTTTTTTTCCTCTTGATTGTTCCATTACTGCCTCCACCCACTGTTTCTGTAAAGTTTTTGGCAGGTTAGAATCTCACCCTCCTGACAAGAACACACTCAGAATATTTTAATGAGCGATTATATTGCCAGTTCAGAATTCTAGACCAGACAACCGGATACAGAGTTCTGACCTGACCCGATTTGGATAATTCATTGTGACACAGGAGCTACATTTTTAATAAGATTTTGATGGTAACCCTCACCCACCAAAGACATGAGCTTATTCCTACTGGTGAAAATTAAAAATGATAGCATTAGTCAGATTCCACAGGCTATTACATTTTAAGCTCATTTTTCTCTGGAAAAGGCAAAAGACATGAAAAAAGTTTTTTGTACTAGCAAATCTTGATCAGCCTCATGTAGGCTACTACTTTTGGGTATGTCTACACTACCCTCCTAGTTTGAACTTTACTTTTGGGTATGTCTACACTACCCTTCTAATTCGAAATGGGAGGGTAATGTAGTCATACCGCAATTGCAAATGAAGCCCGGGATTTGAATTTCCCGGGCTTCATTTGCTTAAAGCCGGCCGGCGCCATTTTTAAATGCCGGCAGTT